TGTGGTCTGCTTTATGATGTTTAAAATGTATTTGCTTCACCCTCTTCAGCTTAGCATTCTTTCTTGTGCCTGCATTCCACTCCCTCTGCACATCAGTGATTGATGTCCCTGTCTTTCCTTGTCTGACTGCGTTCTCATCCTGAACTGAAAATAATGTCCACATTAAAAAACAGTAGTTGTACACTATCATTTCAAAATGCAATTAAAGTAATTACAAAAACTAAGAAAAATCAGCATTTATCTTCCACAGTATTGCATCAGCCTGGCTGCAAGACCTGCAATGCATGAACACCCTCACTGTTTTTATTATGCTGTCGGAAGCAACCAAGTCAATGAAGTAGCTAAATCTGCTGGTAGATGTAATCTGCAGTCACTTTTTCAGGTCGTCCTCTATCCCTCATCTGCAGCAGCAGTATGATCATATTGTCCTGTTTGAGCTCTGACAGGTGGTGTTCCAACATGTTTAAATTAAATCCACAATGCTTGGAGAAAATACATGAGCTCATACTGTTCGCACAGAAACAAATGCTGGTCCTGGTCCACAACGGAAGTCACACTCATAATGCATACAAGGCAGCATGGGGGGAAAGGAATAAGGTGGATATAAAAAAATCTTCAGCGTTTCTCATTCTGCCTGCCCAAGTCACAAATCCATCAGTAAACTCCTTAATTTGAGGGTTTTGCTCTACTGAGACATCATCTAATTGTTGTGTCTATGACCTATCTGCATCATGCCAAGGTTCTCCTGGGGTCAGGCACATCCCTCTTTTTTTCCAGACAAACAGGATCCTCTTGGCCATAAACTGTGGGCCGATCTGTTGCAGGAAATCTGCACTGAATTGGTTCTTGCATCCAGGTCCAAGGCCTGTCACCCCCTGCTGACCTGGGACCAGCAGTGCTGCCAACTCTAGGATTCATTTGATCTGATTTTGTAATCACTGCCATACAGTCACAGTAACATGTTTGAGTAAGTTTAGACCCAGAAAATTTCAGACTGATGGAGGACAGAGATAAAAGGTAAGTGTCTTTATTTACAAGTGATTTGAGTTGATTTCTGAAAAGGGTAAAAGTGAGTATGAGCAGGATTGGATGGTAAATTAATTTACATGAATCTTCACTGGAGAAATCTTACTCTTGTTATTTGCTTTGCAAGTCTGAGAGAGGGCCGGAAGTTAAAGGAAAGGTGGTTGTTGAAGGTGAGTAAAGTTGGAGAGACTGGCAGGGCGACAGTACTTCATGAATTGTTCCAAACCAAAATTCAGTTCACAGGTTGACGAGATGGTACCTGATGTTGTCACAAGGTGAGTAGAGGACTTGGAGGCCACAGAGGAGCAAGGCTTGATAACACAGGAAAAAGCATAAAGGTTAGTTCTTCTCATTCAGAGGTGAGTTTACAGGGCTGTGACTAGTTACCATGAAGTAGCTTAATGTTCTAGAGTTGTAGGGCTGGCTCCAAAGTCCACCAATAGGTCGTTAGTCAGGATCAGGTGCAGGTAAATGGTAAATGGACTGCACTTATATAGCTCCTTTCTATCTTATCAAGATACTCAAAGTTCTTTACAATCTGTGTCCTCATTTACCCATTCATACAGCACTCTACTAGATCTCTACAAAGAATAATCAGAGCTTTATCATATTCATACACCAATGGGACACATATTGGAGGCAATGAGGGGTTCAATGTCTTGCCCAGGGACACTTGGGCATGTGACTGCTGGTGGAATCGAACCCCCAACTCTTGCATTGGAGGACGACTGCTCTAACCACTCAGCCACAGCCACCCCCAGGTGTAGAAGGGTGGCTCTGTCCAGTTGTTTGCCAGCTGTAGGAAAAGTGATTAATGCAAAAACAAAGAAATCCTGTACACAGGACCATCTAGCTTCTGCAATTTTAATTCATTTCCACCACTCAGTCTGTAGCTGAACTTTTTAATGTTATTTATTTATTTATTTATTGCTAAATCTTTGTTTCAACAATTCTGGAAAGATCTTATCTGCAAACTTTACGGTACAACAAAAGGATCTTTGTGTTCCATCTGGACTGTTGTCAAATTAAAGTTAACGTTTATGCATGTTTATTAAGGACTTTTTGTGCTCTGGACCAAGGACTAATAGAATCATCCAGGCAGTCATCAACCAGGGTTTGTGATTTTGTGATGGATACAGAGGAGTCTGACATTCATGTGAAGAAAGGGACGGAAATCAAAACCTGCCTCAGTACCAAAGAGAAGAAACGGTAACATGACAAAGTAGCACAAACTTACAATTCTAAATGTTTCTGTAAAGAGTTGCAGGACTCTGATGAGGAATAACTATTTTTGGGGTTTGAAATATAAAAGTCAAAGAAAATGTGTGAATCTCCATAAATGATCAATGTCCAGGGGCCTGACAGGTGAGAAGAACAGACAGGTGAGGAGAGCAGAAAGGTGAAGAGAACAGACAGGTGAGGAGAACAGACAAGTGAGGAGAGCAGACAGGTGAGGAGAAAAGACAGGTGAGGAGAGCAGACAGGTGATGAGAGCAGACATGTGAGGAGAACAGACAGGTGAGGAGAACAGACAGGTGAGGAGAACAGACAGGTGATGAGAGCAGACAGGTGATGAGAGCAGACAGGTGAGGAGAACAGACAGGTGAGGAGAGCAGACAGGTGAGGAGAACAGACAGGTGAGGAGAACAGACAGGTGAGGAGAGCAGACAGGTGAGGAGAACAGACATGTGAGG